CGCGGCTCTCGCCGCCTCGCGCCGCATGGCCCGCGACACCGGCCGGGCGAGGGGGCGCGCCGCCGCCGTCGCGTTCTTCTTGTCCCGGGCGGTGGCGGGGCGGTGGCTCCGGGCTTGGGTGGAGCGGCGACGGCGGCGGTTGGAGGCCACGCGGGCGGCGGAAGACCACCGGGCCCGGGCGGCTGTTAGCCCGGGGGCTGCGCGGTGGCGGCGACAGCGGCGGCGGGACCAGCAGCTGCGGATGGAGGCCGCCTGGAGCTCGTGGCGGGCAACGACGAGGGGGAGAAGGACGTCGCGATCGGCGCGACGGGCAGTCGTTGAGGCCGTCGAGAGCCGCCTGCGGAGCGGCGCGATCGGAGCGTGGCGAGGCTTCGCGGATGGCAGGCTCCGGCGGCGAGGCCTGCTGGCCGAAGCGGCGCAGAGCCGGGCTCGGCGACTGAAGGGGAAAGGGTTGCGGGGCCTGAAGGGCGGCGCCCTCGACGCGCGCGCTCCTCGAGATGCGGTTTGGGTTGGGGACGAGCACTGGAGACGGCGAGGGGCGGCGATTGTCGTGGCGCGACTGCGGTGGGCAAAAAATAACAGTAGTGTGTAGATAGAAGTGGGGGAACCGCGATGACGAAGTTAGGATTGATGTTGACGTAAATAGTAGATATCTCGTTGATTGGTGTCGAATTAGCGGATCTGTTCTTGATAGGTGTTGTAGTCCTTCCACGCGGTAGTACCATTAGCTCGTGTCCCTCCTCTACGCCTGCGCCCCCGCTTTACGTGCACGAAGTCGTACCTTTTGTAATCTACACCCGTTGATGATGACAATGAAAGAGCAACCTAGCGTCCCTCCGCCGCCGCCGCGCCCCCGACACCTCGCAGAAATCTCACCGAGTCACGACGGCGAATGGTTCGGCGAGCCGCCGCTCTCTGCCTCCGTGTCGCCGCCCGAGCTGGCCTGACGCGCTGGCGGCAGTCCGCGCGAGACTCGAGGGTGGCTCGGGAGGCGTGCGTCAAGGGAGAAGCCTGGCGGCGGGAGAAAGCGAGGAGAGACGGGGTGTCGATGCTGTCCGGTAGATTGGGCGGGCGCGCTGAACAGAAACGGTGAGAAACCATACCGCCTGGTGGCATGGTTGTTGCCGAATGCGATTTTGGTTCTGTGTAAGGAGGGTGCTTATCCCGCCGCGCCAAGTAACGTGGTCTTCTCCGCCCGATGATCTTCATGGTGACGCATCCGGCTTGATTGCTTCCGCCTTGCGCAAACCATGGCCAGCAATAATGTTTTCATCCCTGTGCGCCATTAACTTCAAGCGGTCTTGAACCCCGCCGTTCCCCTCCTCGGCCGAAAAAGTCGCACCCATTCTTTCCCGTGTTCCTTGCCCGGACACAGAGCGATTCGAGTCGGCACGCGGCACCTCTCGCGCCGCCTAGCCGGCCGCGCGGTGGCTGCGTGGCGAGGGTGGACCCGGCGTCGAGCCGCGGCCGCCGATCTCTACGAAGGGGCTTCGGCGTTGCACCGTTCCTGGGTCTTATCGGCGGGGATGCGGGCCCTAGACCGGGTGGCGAGGTGCGATGCCTGTTTTTTTCCGCACCAACTCCCCCCCCCCGCGCGCCTCCACCGGCGCCCCCGCTCCCACCCGCAGTGCAAGCAGGACAGCTGTTGCTGCTGTTGTTAACCTATATAACGTCGCCAGTTCCACAAAGAAAGGCGGTATAGGTTGGTTTTCTGAGGTAAGAATCGACAGCAATAAATACCGGCTTCCTTGCAGGGCGAGAACGTCGCGGCGCGAGGCCATCGTCGTCGCTGAGCGACACCTCTTGCGGTTCTACGGGCTGGGGCGGTGGCGCGCTGCGGCCGCATCGAGGAGGCGTGCGCGCAGCCGGGCGGAGATCGCCACGGTCCACTGGGCACGGACACTGTCCTCGAAGGTTAGTTACTCAACCTACGCATCGCATGTGTTTGACAGCAGTCACGATTACATTTGTTTGGGTTGTTGTTGTTATTGTTGTTGTTGTTGTTGTTGTTGTTGTTGTTGTTGTTGTTGTTGTCGTCGTCGGTGGCACGCTCCTACTGACCGACGACTCTTATCGCTCGATTTCTCCTCGACCGGCAGACTGCTAGACTACTGCCGAAAACGAAGGGTGACTAGGAAAGATGTCGTCTAGAGCTTTCCTTGCGTGTTCCGGTCGTGGAGTAATCGAGCTTTGAAAAGTCAGCCTGGGGTGTGAGCGGTGACTCACAGTTTTGAGGCGGTGGCTCATCGCCGATGTGTGGAATTATTCGAATTCTCTCTGTATTGCCGCGATTTATGCTCCGGTCGACACTGACCCCCCTTTGTCACTATTTCATGTGTCTCGGCGAAGGTGTTGATATCCTGGGAAGCGGCTGCGCTGCAGCAGTGGGCCGAGACGAGGCAGGAGGAGGCCGCCGCCCGCCACGAGCGTCTCGCCGGCAAGAGACGGGCGCTCCGGGCTTGGATGGCGCGCGTGCGGTCGCGGCCGCGGTGCTTGCTGTGCGTTAGGTCGAGGTCGGGGTATCATTAGCGGAGGAGAGAGCGGGGAGTGAGGGGGGGCTCTTTTCGTCGAATGGTACAAATTACTCTCGTTGACACGAGTTAGCTAAGGTTTGACTTGCTAAGGGATCCAGGTCTCGACTCTGTTTCGTGCGGTCATCCCTTCTTCTAGTACCCGCCAGATTGCATTCATTGGATTAGACGATAATGATCCCCCCGAGTCAGAGGAGGTTAGAGCTGGGGAGGCACTCAATGCCACTACACTTCGATCGACCGTTGCAACAGACGCGAACGAAAAAAAAAAATCCACCTTGTGGTATGCGCATGGTGTGTCATACGAAGATTGCTGCGTTTGTTCTTCACTCTCTTTGCAAGATGGGTCCCCCGAACGGCACCCGGGCACTGCTTAAGTAGGTACGGTACGTTGCACGCCCTCTTGTTCGACGTTGCCCAGCCGGAGACTAGCCGCGGCAGGCGGAGGAAAAAACCCTGCACAACAATGCCTTACTATGTTCTGGATCGTGTGGTAGAGCAACGCGCAAGCACCACAGCGGGGCGAGCGGTAGTCGGCGCCCCGTTAGCAAAACAAGTGCCGATATCCCAGTTGAACCTTCAAATTAAGCTTGACGACGTGCCAAAATGGAGGAAAAACGATGCTTTACTTTTCTTCCTGCTGGGGTCTGTTGGAGACACCATACCATTGTCGACAACGCAGTCTCCGTGACACAATCTCGCTCTCGTCAGTGGGCCAATCTAATCACTGCACTCATCCCCACCAAAAAATGAGAGATTCTTCTGTTGCTCACAATCCAATCAGAGCGCAAGATAATGGCGGAAAACTCTGAATGTTTTCCAATCAACACGCCTTCAATACCCCGTACACGAAATTTCTGCAGTATCCAACAGCGAGAGGACGACAGCTACAATACTCTACGCTCCGATCGACATAGCTGCTCCATGCGCACCGCTCCCATCGACAACTGCTCTTGAATGAAGAAAACCCTCTCTGGTAAAATCGCAAGATACAATGCATTTTTTTTTTACTTGTTTTGCGACACCTACTCTCTCTCTCTCGCGGACCAAGTCTCATGATGGCATCACACGCCGGAGTCGACTCTCTCACTCTACAGCTAGGCCATGCCACCAAACACCAAAGGTTCCAACCTGGCTGCCACTCCCACTGCCACAGAAGAGGGGGGGGCTCGCAAGCTTCAAGAGCCTCTACCAGCAGTACTTCGTGCACAGCGAGCAGAACTTCTGCAGCACGGACATGGACTATACAGATCCCCAAAAACTACAAAAGCACGCATCCTTTCATCGGGGCTGCCAACAACAACAAACGTATGGTAAATACACGAGGTGGAAAAATCCCTCCAACAGACAAATTATATCTCTGTACAAGTGCACGCTGCCTGCTCTTTCGCCTCCCCTTCTGCCTCAATCGTCGCTTTCACATAGACGGGCCTGAGGCGTTAGGCTCGTACGTTGCTGGCAGGTATATACGTCCATGTGCCCATACGCCCCACTCGAAATGGTGAAACCGGTTCGGCCCCCACCTTTGATGCGCAGGCTATTTACAGTAGTAGGGGTTGCGCTTCACGAGGAAAAATCACCTACACAACCACTATTCCCACACCCTCTCCGTGGCAACCGTTATTCCTCCCCTCAACTTCTCTCCCCGCCTTGTATACAACCATTTTCCCTCCCTCCACCACCTGTACAACCCATTTTCCAACCACCCTACGACTCCTCCTATTCTCACCAAAGCAGATATACATGTTTCGGATTTTTCTTTTTTTTCTTTTTCGAATTTACAAAAAAAAAGAAAGCCTACTTGTACACGGCACGAATCAACCCACACGTACATACCCGCCGCCATATGACGTCATACACCCGTGTGGGGCATCACCATGAACAGAGGCGTCATTTTCGACGGCCTAAGGGCAGCAGCTCTAACGGCACGCGGACAAACAAGAATACAACAGCAGCAAAAGTTTCGCCGAGGCTGGTGGGTGGGAGGGATTGGCCTACTGCTGGACTACCGCAAAACGAAGACGCCGATTGCTGCATTCCGATCGATCTGACGAGACAGCGCGATCGAATAGACTCTTCCAGAAACGACGACGAGACAGCGGATCAGTCGATCCGGGAGAACAAACAATCGGAAATATACAAAAAAATTCCCCCGCGGCTTCTTCTTGGCCGGGCATCGCTGCTGCCAAAAACAACCTCATGGTGGCATGCTGCTGCAGCACGAGGAAATAAAAAGTTCAGGAAAGCGGGAATGCAGTGGTCGTCGGCAGTCAAAACCAGCACCCCCTTCCTCCCACGAACTGGCGGCCAATGTGTCCATCAATCAACATCTTGGCCCTTTCTCTTCGCGAGTTCGTTTCTCTCTCTCCCCCCCTGGCGCTCGTTGCACCATCCTCCTTCCTGGAACATTATAGTTTCTTTTCAAAATGCGTCCACCCTTTGATGAGACGGACATAGCCCTGTTGGGGCCAGGCCAAACACTTTTACGATGCACGCACACAGAGGTAGGCTGAGGAGGCTCTCTCTCTCTCTCTCTCTCTCTCTCTCTCTCTCTCTCTCTCTCTCTCTCTCGTCCCTTCAGCACACCCACCCACCCCCGCCGCAGTGCCGGCGGTACTCCTGCCGACCTCCGTCGCGGAAACCTTTCGCACGCCGCACCGACTCCGCCATGTTCGCGCGCACGGAATCCCCCCCGCCGCCGCCGCCGCCGCCGCCGCTGTCCGCCGAGCAAAAGGCGCTACCGCTAGCGCCACCGGCGCAATCCGTCGCCGGGGTGGCTCCGTGGGGAACCGACGACGAGGACGGCTGCGGCTGCTGGGAGGACGAAGCAGAGGGGTTAACGGGGGCGGTTGGGGGTGCGAAGAAGAGGGGGTCGAGGGGGTCGGACCCGGCGACGTTTCCCTCGGCGGCGGACCAGGCCTTGGAGGCCTCCTTGAAGCGCTTCGCGTTGAACTGCCGGAGGATCTGCTCGGCGCTGATGCCCCCGCTCTCGCCGGTGGCGGCCAGGATGTTGCGCATGTCCTCCTGCGAGCACGCCGGGGGGCGAGTAGTGCGCGTGGGCGACGTGGGAAAGTAAGACGCTGTGGTTGGGCTTCGTACATGACAGGTCCACAGCAGTAGTACGGTAGAGGTACGATCACAAAGGTGGGCACAGTGTTGTGGGGTGTGGGGAGAGACAAGCAGACGTCTCTTATCGTACCTTGTTCGGCAGACATAAGAAGCTGTGTTTAGCCGATGCCATGGTAGACATTGAAGCATTCCGTGCTTTGGAGCTGGATCCGTCAACAAAGCCCCGAAACACCAATATCTAGGATGTCACCTATAAGCCAAGACTTGTCTGTTGCCGCCCGTGTGCGTTCGGGCCAGGTTTCTTGTGGAAGTCGTCCCGAAAGAAGCCGGTTCTCTTTTTCATTTCTTCCTCACCAAACCAAAAATCGGCAACAAAAACATACCGGCACACAAGGCGCAACAACACGTCGAGGCCAGTTGGCCTAACGACTACGGCATGCATACGTTTACGTGAGTACAACACCCAGCCCACAACAACCCACGCCGTTCCCTGAAGCCAAACAACGCCACCCATCCCCCCCGCCGACACGCTTCCAAATCTATTCCGCTTCTCTCTCTCACCAGCAAGCCCTGCTGAGCCGCTGCTTCTCCCGCCCTCGCCGCGAACAGTGCCTTGTCCAGCCTGTCCCCGAAGCTCTGGTCCGCCCCCCCCGCTCCTACTGAATCGCCGGCGCCCCCGGTGCTCCACCACGGCGAAGTGGCGTCGGCACCGGCGCAGACGGAGCCCGTCTTTGTGGTTGCCGCGCGGAGAGCGCAGAAGGTGGCGGCGCTCCCGAGCATGATTCCGACGACGATGGACAAAGCGACGCGACCCAGCCACACGCGCACTGATTTTTCGGGAGGGGGAGAGGGGTTGCGGCAGGTTGTGGGAAATGATAAATAGATGGTACAACGTTTGGGACATTGAGGAAGGTGACGGCAGGTTGTGGGAAATGAAAAATAGATGGCATTGTGGGACGTTGACCCCCGGATGATGTTTCAGAACGTACACCGAAAGGTCTGTGTACTGGCCACTGGCTAATAGACGGGGACGAACACACAATAGAACGTACTGCTGTAGTATTCCAGATTCGTAGGTATGCAACTCCGGAGTACCCGGGCGGAAGGGTGGGGTTAATGTTGGGCACTGTCGCGGTGAGTTCGGGATGTGGAGGGGTGAACAAGACATGCATGAGTGTGCGGTGCGATGCTAAATACGTAGAGCGACTGCGACCGAGCGCCACGGGCGACAACAGCGCTAGTGTTCTATTGCTCGGCCTGCGTTCGTCATTACCCAACCTGAACCCACGGTCTTATCTCCCTGCAGTAGACAACCTCGAAGAGGAGCGTTAAGGCCGCAATGGGGATCGCAGTACTTCCTCTTCAAAAAAACAGGAAACGCCTGGAAACGCCTGCATATCTCGTTTTTCCAAAGTCTAACTTCAGTACGAAACTTCCATCGCAAATTAACCATCTGCTGACCCCCCATTGTAGCTGAGGTTGTAGCCTCACAGACCACTTGCAACAGGACCCGCCGCACCAAAAAAAATGCTCTGGGCGGAGGGGAGGTTCTGTGGGGGATATTTTCAAGAAATCATAACTTTTTGCCCCGGGATCGGATTTTCATAAAATAAATTGCGTTGGATAGCTGACGAGCTGAAGTTTTTTTGGCGATTTTTGCCTTGTTTTTTGGAAAACGGGGGGCGAATATCTTGGGTTTTTGTTGAATAACCCAGGCTGTTCGAGAAAATATAAATTTAGTTCGGGGGAAAGGGTTGATTTTCGTTCAAGAATAACATTATCTTTGTGCCTCGTTTCCAAAACGCAAATTGTTTTATGAAAATCCGATCCCGGGGCAAAAAGTTATTTTTTGAAAATATCCCCCACAGAACCTCCCCTCCGCCCAGAGCATTTTTTTTGGTGCGGCGGGTCCTGTTGCAAGTGGTCTTTGTAGTGCGGTCCTGCGATTTTCCAAACGATCCTACTATCATCGAGTTCGGTGAGCTACAAGCTAGATTTTTGAAGCTGCTGTGCGGTCCGATTTGAAACGCTTCAAGCACACGGTGAACACGAATCACCGCCTATGTGAGTGTATGGGGCCGCGAACATCAGCGCAGCTCTTCCCTCACATATCCAGCTGGTCGCCATTGTCGATTTGAATGCCTAGGGTCATGTATATGCATGTCCAGCCTGTAAGCAAAGGTGCTTGAAGCGTTTCAAAATTGGACCGCACAGCAGCTTCAAAATCTAGCTTGTAGCTCACCGAATTCGATGATAGAAGGATCGTTTGGAAAATCGCGGACCGCTAGTCTGTAGGGTATCGCAAGGGCTACAATCTCAGCTACTAACATTGTCCACGAGGGGGGTCAGCGGACGGTTAATTTGCGATGGAAGTTTCGTACTGCAGTTAGACTTTGGAAAACCGAGATATGCAGGCGTTTCCTGGATTTTGAAGAGGAGGTATAGCGATCCCCAGTGCGCCCTTAAGAGCGAATCTCGTTGAAAATGGCCCCTTGCCACAGGACGTCGCTACAAGTAAAACAGGTAACAGCAGTTGGCACTACAGACTTCTTCCGCCTTACACTTGCGGAGCGAATCCTTGCGCTGAGAAAAAGGTTCATGAGGGAATGATGAGAGTATTGGCAAATAACCGAGAAAAAATTATTCAGCAAGTTACTTGCGGCTGAAGACCCGGGCAAAACGGCAGAGCACCCATACATAGGGCAATTTTTTTAAAAGACACGGAAGAACTTCCAACAATTATCTATGTTTTAGAGGGGTAGAGCCGGGTAGATGCCTGACTCCCACCAATCACCCGTCGAGTTTGTAAGACATTTTGTAAGACAGAGACACATGATTGGGCCATGGGCACGACGCTCTCGGCAGAATCACTGAAATCCTCTCGCACAGCAGCACCATACACATCACGTACATCACGTAGACAACATGCGATACAACCAGCACAGCAGTATATGGACTGCTGTAGGCCAAGGGCAGCCAAAGGCATACATCATGGGAGGCGTTGGGTTGGACTCTTGCGGCCCGTTGCCTGCTGTCGGCAGCACAAGCGAGTGACGACGCAAGTCAACCCGCGGTCCGTCTGCATCATCACCCTCAACCTACCGATCTTTGGAGCTTCCCGCACAGACGTATCCCCACAACAGAGAAACCGAGGCCTACACACTGCTGTAGGCCAAGGCCGGCCAAAGGCACACATCATGGCTGGCGTCGGAAGCTATTTTTAGACCCCGAGGCCTACTGCTAGCAGCGTAAGCGAGGGAACATGCGAGTGCACACAAGTGAGATCTTTGTCTGCTGTCTCTTCGTCTGCCGGCCGATCTTTGCTTCCACAACAGATGCACCCCAGAAACAGAGACAAGTGAGACGTACACAGCGCTGTAAGCCATGGGCGGCCAAATACGCACGTCGTGGGAGGGGTCGGGCCCAATTTTTCGAGCCTGTTGCCCTCTGCTAGTAGCGAAAGCGAAGAAAGCAAGTGCGCACCCATGCACAGCAGCAGCAGCAGCGCCGGCAGCAACAGCAAGCAGCAGCAGCAGCAGCAGCACTGCTGTCGCTGAGCTGATGATGATGAGAACTAAACATCTCTCCCATTCATCCCCTGACTGACTGGTGGTATCGGGTGAGGTGTGAGCGTGCGCACTGGTGACCTACGTGGTGGCGTAGGCTCCATCCATATCTATCTACGCTTTCTTTGATGTCTCTCTCCGACCCTTCTTTTCGCGCTTCGCGCGAAATAATTTAATTTTTTTTGTTGGACCCCTATGTATGGGAGGTGAGCCGGCAAAACGCGCTCTATGCACGTTTTGCTTCAGGAATCCAAACTTCGCTCTGTTCAGAACATGCACAAGCGCACTCTCGAAATGGAGGGGTTGAGTCAGTCAGACGGCCAGCAGAATCCCCAAGACACAGACACATGACACGGCGGAATGCCCCCAACATACAGTACATGAAGCATCGGACCATAAAGTTACTGCTTTCCCTTACCCGGAGCCTGCGGCACGCTATCCACCGCCTTCACCGCGGCCTTCTGCCCCCTCGAGCACGCGTCCGCCCCTGCCTCCACCTGAACCTTAACCGCCCGCCCGAACTCCAAGGCCCGGGCCTTCGCGAGCGCACCCGCTCTCCCCACGCCGCGCACGAGGCAATCTCCGCAATCTCCGAGAGCTTGGGCGGCGGCGCGGCGGGCCCTCGCGGCTGCCGCGGCGGCCTCGGAGTACCGCTGCCGGTGGCTGCTGAACGCTGCTCCGCCGGCCTCCTCAGCGTCCGAGTCGTCGTCGTCCATGTCCGAGGATGCGGCTGCCTCCGACTTGATTTCGTCCTCGTCTCCGATGGGGACATGCAGCCAGGACTCGCGCAGGAAAGGCGTGCTGCTGCCGGAAGCCGCCGCGATTTCTCCGCCCGCGGCGGCGGCGGTCCGGGACGTCCCGCTCTGCTGGGTGAGGCTGCCGCCGGGTTGGATCTCGGGGGACGTGATGGCAGCAGCAGCAGCAGGCGCAGTAGCCTTTGTATGCGTTGTAGTATCCGTGTTCTGCGTCAAATTGTTCTCGAGCGCGCCGCCTGTTGCAAGGCGGTGATCACAGGAAGCGTGCCCCACCCTTCCCCCGCCCCTGCGGGCGCCGGCACCCGAGCCGAAGTCTTCCTCGACCCACCCGGCGCCAGCAGCGCTCGCCGCCGAGGCAACGAAGTAAGGCTTACTGCTGCTGCTGTTGCCGCTGTTTGAAGTCAAGTAGCCCCGCGGGGATCCCGGGGTAGAGCTGCGGGAAGGGAGTGCCGGCAAGACGCTGTCGTTGTCGTCGTCAAATGCCCCTCCGTCTCCGTGCTGGTGATCGACCGCCCCGCCGCCGCGGTGGCGCTGCTGGCCGTACAGCTCGCGCCCCGACGACCACGCGCCCGACGTGCTGGTGGCCGCCGGGTGGAAGATCTGGTCGAAGTCGCGGAGGCCTTCGGAGTCGTCGTCATCATCGGAAAGGAAAGACGTGCAAGCCAAGTCGTCGAGCCCTGTCCGGGTGGTTTCGCCGCCGCTGCTGGTGGCCGCGCTCGAGGCGCCGCCGCCCCCGTGCCGGCTCCCCATCAGCTGGCCCAGGTTCACGAAGCTCTGCGAGTCCACTGACATCTCCATGTCTCGGAAGCCATTGCCCCTCCTCCCCTTGGGATGCGTGCTGCTCTTGCCCGAGGGGGGCAAAGTTGAATCGGCGGCAGATTCCATGTACAGCAGCAGTAGCAAATGACAAGAGTTGGGCTGCGGGAGAGACTGGAGATCCGGTGGGAAGCGTCCCTGGAACAAGAGCGGCCGGCTAGGCGTGTAGCAGGGTTGGAGTGGTCTCACGCGAGATCGTGTTTAAATCCGCTGTCCGCGCTCCCCTGCGTCTGTTGCACATAGGTTATAGTTCTCACTGCTTGAGTCTGCAGGCTGCAGGCAGAAAGAAAAGAGGCGGCGAGTCACCTCTCTCTCTCCATGAACCTCTCTCACGTCAACACGCCTCCATATATATATCGGCAGTTTCAGGCATCTACCGTACGCGTACCCTGTTCTTCATCTATCAAAAGATACGCGACTGTTGTGCACCGTCTCGGTCTACTACAGGCTTAGTCCCAGCGAAACCAACGACCATGTTCGTGTACTGCATACATGGGATCGTTTAACTACGCGAGGGCTGCACACTGAATGAAACCGACAAGATTTGCGTTTTTTGGTTGAAGTTGAACATGACACGAAACGGCACTTCGGCCTGCGTGCTGCGTGTGCGTGCGTCCGTGCTACATACGTGTTTTTCGTGCCCCCTCTGCTTGTTTTCCGTTGCAGTTTTTAGGCAGGCCGTCAGAAAACGAAGTGAACCCCGAGACTCACCCGCGGTGCAATAGAATTTGCAGTACTGCCGTAGCCGGGAGCACTTGCCCAAAAGTCGCGCTATTTTCATTTACCAGCGGCAGGACGAGATACGTCTCATTCATCACAAAAAAAAGGTCCAAAAATTCAATCCTACTCTACGTTGTTTGGCCTCGTCTTTCTCAGCAGGTGAAATATATCCGATTACCCAGGGTCACAAAAGACACCCTCTGCGGTTGGAACGATTTCTACCAGTTTGTGTAACCACCAAATACCAAACATAAAAATTGCCTCCATTTGCTGTCCGCGTAAACGGTTTGTTTGTACATGTAAATTAACAATGCAAACTCTGAAAACGCGGCACCCGCATTGATTGATTCCTCTTCATTGATGCGTTACAAAACAAATGGGTGACATACGTTGGATCATAAAAATATAAACACAAGACTGAACGTCTGCGAACTGCCTACCAAATTGTGTGCTGCTTCGCTTCGGGCGAGGTACAAGGATACAGATACAACCTGGCCAGACCCAGCAGGAAGCAAATACCCCCCCCCTGCCCGGACGCAAACCAACTTTGCTTTCGGTGCGATCAGCTAGCTCTGTTCGCGAGCCGATTGCAAGAACGGAAAAACAAGGAACAGTTCATCTATGGAACAACGCAAACCGTGCTCGCTCCCCCTCACCCCTACCCCCTTCTTCCAACACTATCATTCACTTTATTGTGTACAGCAGTATGTGCCAAAACAAGAGAGAAAAATTCTGACTACAGTAGGCCCGGCCAGTCACGACGACCAAAAGCAGTGCCCGCGCCGCACCCTTGACCCCATCAGCCCCCCTCCCACGGCTGACGCAGTCGGTTGAGCACGGACACTCTGTCGCATTCCCTTGCTCGCCCAATGTCTCATGGTTCTGGCGGCGCAACCGCCAACGGCTCTGCGAGAGGCTCCTTACTGCCCCCCCCGCCCCCGTCCCCGCCCCCACCATTAACGGCAGAATCGGTCGGCAATCCGGCAATCGGCCCCGTCGAGGTTGCTACCACCGCTGGTGCTTGTGCTACGGCGGCGGCTGCTGCTGCTGCTGCTGCTGCTGCTGCGATAGACGCCGCTTCAGCCACTGGGTCCGCCGGATGCGTACTGGCAGTGGTCGCCGCTGGTGCAGCCGGCGCCGGCGCCGCCATAACGCCTGCAGCGTTCGGCGCCACCTCCGATTGTACCGGCGCGGCTGTTGCTTGCTTCTGCAAGTCTTGTTGTTGTTGGAGATTTTGTGGCGCTGGCGTGGCGATCGGCGGCGCAGCTGCAACAGGCGTCGGCTCCTGAGGCGGCTGCTGCGGCTGCAAATGCTGCTGCTCCTGCGTCTGCTGCTGTTGTTGACGTGATGGCAAGGAGTCAACAACGGGCGGCCCTCCTCCACCCGCAGCAGCAGCAGCAGCAGCAGCAGGTGCAGGAGAGGGGTCTGGTTGTTCAGCAACGCCACTCGCAGGCTGCGCGTTAGTGTGACCACTGCGCTCAACGGCCCCGTTTCCACTCAAGCTCCCGTTAACATGGCCGGCGACGCCAACACCGCTGGGTGCAGGAGGTGGGGCGGCGCCACCGGGCGGGGGTTGAACGTGATGGCTCGGCGACCCGGGTTGTTGTACACCCACGCCTGCCGGTAGCGAGCCCGTGATGAAGTACGGATTGATCTGTTTTCCCCGACGACGTCGGCAGTGCGTCGAGTTTTCGCGGAGCAAACGGATGGGGATAGACCGGGGTGGGTGGTGATGTCGGAGCGAGGCCGGAGAAAATAACTCCAATGGAACCACAAGTCTACGACCGATGTAAACAACGCCCCTTTTTCACGTCGAGTAGAACGTCCGCGCTTCATCGCAGTCCCGAAAAACACTTCATAGATTCGGGTTCTCCCGCACTTCGGCAAAACTGTACTTCCTGCAGTTTAACGCATGCTACACATATTGTACCCTTTCTGGGGCTGGGAAAAAAACGTATTTTTGTCTCGTCCCTCAAGCCCGACAGGCACTCAAACGTCCAGAATCGTGCGTTTTTCTTTCACCTGAACGGGCAGCTTCTGCATCTCCGCAAACGGCAGGGTGGCCAGCAGAGCGGTCACCTCCTTCACGTTCTTGTCGAAGGCTATCATCAGGGGGTGGTTGTCGAAGAACCTCCCCATCACCATGTTCTCGCGGATGCTGTTGATTAGGGCCATGTTCTCCTGCAGCAGCGTACAAACACGCGCCTGCAGCAAGCAGCCAGAAAAAATCCGCGCGAAACGGAGGAGCGTCGGCATCGAGGGATAGAAGAGAGGAATTGCGGTCTGTGGACTTTGGCCAACGGAAGCTGTTGGGGGATGGGGTCCTGATGGATATATATATCAATTGCCAGTCCTGGCAAATCTATACCAGCAAGTCAGAGTGAAGCCTATCAGCACAGCAACATCCGTCAACAAGGCCAGTAGGATCCGAAGGCAGCAGGTGCGAGGGGGGGGCACCGTGCTTCGGAGGTGCGTCGCAGTACAAGAAAACGTGGGTGTCATTGCAAGGTGAGAGGGAGAGAACGAAAGGAAAGGCCCGCACGCATGCACCACGCCGCCTGCATCTTCGGGTGTGGCCAGAGGCGGTTCCAGGGCTGAATCAAGTTCGGTGTGGAAAGGGCAAAATTTCGTGTCATCTTCAACATCGACTCTATGTTGTCTGCCTGTCTATCGTAGCTTTGGAACAAAGACCGTTGCTAGGACTTGGGTGTGAATAGGTCAGTGATGTCACGACATGAGCAAATGTAGAACAGTAGCAAACGGGTATACCCCCCTCCCCCCCCCCCCGATTTTTATGTTTGTATGTCATAAAAATCAAGGAAGAGACGGACATCCCGATGTGTGAGTGAGACCTTCTGTTATGCAAGCCACCCTTGAACCTTACATGGGGAAAATGACCTCCCCGGAGGAAAGTACCCAGTACAGCAGCTGGGGCAAGTTGAGAGAAGAAACGGTCGTGGGACGCTTGGGTTGGTTACCATGCAGATCGCCTGGCACAAACTTGGGGTACTTGTGCTAAGGGTGTTGAACTTGGCTCCAGGCTATGAGCCCGTGTTGGAGGCACTTTTTAGTGTCGGTGAGCCGGCAAAAGAATTGAAAGACACCAGACCCTCAACAAGTACTAGGATTGGGAAGTCCCAGTAATTTGAAAGCATCCCACTTCAAACACAAAGAACGAGATAGTCTCGAAAGAGATAGGGAGGGAGACGACGAGGCACAAAGGGTGGAGAAGGAGAGAATGGAAAGGTGCAGTACTGGTAGTGTTGATATTTGGAGTCAATAGCGACATGACAAGGTTGGAGTTCAAAAGTAGATGTGAAGAAGTAGGATTATATTGCTTCGCAAGGGGGGGGGTAGAAAGGGAAGGAAACCACTTTAGAATCACGTTTGGAAGGAGAGTAAGCGCAGAATGGGAAAGACTAGAAGTAGAGAAGATGTCGGCGTGGGTGAGGAGACTAGGTTGGAGGGTGTGCATAGCAAATAGGATCCAGGAAGTAAGGCGTAGCCCAAGGCTGGCTGAAAACAAAGGGGGGCAGGAGGCCCGAAAGGGTCAAAAGGGAAAGCAAGCCAAAGTAGGAGAAGGGGGGGGCAGCGATAGGATAAGGCAGACGGGAAGACAAATGAGGGACAAAAGGAATCCTGAAAGGCACAGGAAAGTAGAAAGTAGGAGTAAGGAAATCAGAATAGGGTCTTGGAATGTATGCGGATTTGCCACAGATGAGCGTAAAAGACTCGAAATTGCCGAGCAAGCGGCCGAAAAAGACCTGGACATAGTCGGAGTCCAAGAGTCGTGGGAGAAGGACGGGGGAGAAATAGGAAAAGAAGTGGGAAGCTACACATGGATAGGTAAAATGAGGAGAGGACAGAAAATCAAGAGTAGAGGGGAGGGGGGAGTTGGATTCTTTGTCAAGGAGCACATGTGCGACATAATTGAGGTGATCAGCGACACCAAATTCAACGAAAGCATGTGGATAAGGGTACCAGGGGAACGGGGAAGAAAGGACTTATTCGTAGGAAATGTATATATGCCACCAGAGTCGAAGAATATGGTGAAAGACATCAGGATAGGTTTCGAGGAGGTAGCAGAGGATGTACAAAACTTCAAGAGAAAGGGAGAAGTAGTTCTAGTTGGGGACTTCAATTCAAGAATCGGGCGAACCACGAACCCACACGGAACCATAGGGCAATACGGGGAGGGAGCCACGAACAAAAACGGGGAAGAAATGCTGAGGTTCCTTGACAGTAGCGAGATGAAGGTGTTGAACGGTAGAGTACGAAAGACAGAACCGGAATGGACTAGGCAATGTTTCAAAAAAGGAGAACGATCCATCCTTGACTATATAGTCGTAGAGAATGGGGGGAAAGAGACGGAAGTACGAGTATGCACAACGGATGTAGGCACTACAGACCACGCGTTGGTGTGGACAGCCCTACAACAGAAGAGAGTCATACAGAGTAGGCGAC